AGGAGGCATCTTACTTGGATGAATGATATCCTTATAGCCTTTTTCTTCAACCCCTGCAACAAAAGCCTACAGATTATATCTAGTCTAGCAATTGAGTCCCCAGGGTTTCTACTTTTTTTTTTTTTTAAAATACTACTTTGAGATCTAGAAGACATAAGAAGTCATAAGAGGAAGAGTAGAAGACTCGAGAATTATCAAGAGTAAGAAAAACGACTGAGCAAAACAAAACTAAATCCAGAATCCCTTTACTCGCCTTATCCCAGGCATTTAACCTTTCATCAAAGGGCCTGGGACTTCGCTCCATTTGTGGTTTGTTCAACCACTCAAAACTCTTTGCTGTAGAGTTGGAACCAACTCAGTGCTGACCCTTCAGCAGGGTTTCATAGGTTGTAAATCAAACAGGAAGAGATTTGCCCATCTTTCTCCTGTAGAACCACTGATGGTAGATTCAAATAGATGGGGAAGTGCTACCTTTGAGTTAGTAGTGCAAGTACCTATGAGCTATATCACTGGAGCTCCACAGTATGGAGCTCCCCCATAACTGCCCTCATTATGGGAATTCAACTAGAATATACTTGGTTTTGTTCATTTAAAACCTACTACTTCCAGACCAGCTCTTGCCCCAGGAAACTTTCCTCCTCCCTTAAGCTGTTTTATTTCTTGCCAGAGGCATTGGCTTCCCTGTGGGTGGGTGAGGGAGTAAGAGAGGGTCTTCTGGCTGCTTCAGCTTACTAAAGAAGTGTCTTCTTGCTCCAGTGAAGCTGTACTGGATGCTTTTCTGGATGATGGCTTCCTCATCCCCACATTTGAGCAGTTGGCTGCCTTGCAGATAAACTATGAAGGTAGGGTCCCTGGGGGCTCCCTGCAGCCTCAGAAATATTGTGTTTCTTGGATAAGAACACAGGGAATGGGCTGGGTGAGGGCTGTTTGTTGCCACTGTATGGCCAAAGGTAGCTCCACTGATAAGCAGTTGTGCTTGTGGGGCTGTCATTAGGAGATCTGGAGTGGGTTGAGTTGGGGTGAGGCGGGAGAATCTTAATGTCGTTATGCTGTGTTAATTGTTATATAGCCAATAACTAGAGAAATAGAACAGCAAATTGAGAACAATCTTGTGAGGTCATCTAGTCCAGCAACCTCATGTTAAATATGGGCAAACTGAGGTCCAAAGAAGGGAAGGTACTGACCAAAAGTCACACAGTGTTATTGACAAAGCGGAAGCTAGAAACAGTTCTTGTTCTTTTCTATGTTAATTTAAGTCAATGATTGAATACCAGATACTAACTAGTTTCTTTTTCTCCTACTGTTCTGTTTTCCTATTTCCTCCTGTCCTGTGATTGCAACTCTGTTGTTGTTGTTGGGGCTTACTCTTATTCTCTCTCTTGCTTTTCCTCCCACCATCGCCTGTCAATGTGCCTGTCACAACCTAGAAAATGTGGACTTGAATGACATCCTGGTGCCAAAGCCGTTCTCTCAGTTCTGGCAGCCCCTGCTTAGGGGCTTGCACTCTCAGACCTTCACACAGGCCTTGCTGGAGAGGATGCTCTCTGAGCTGCCATCCTTGGGGGACAGCGGGATCCGGCCTACCTACATCCTCAACTGGATCATTGAACTGATCGTGGCCAACACCAAGACTGGTGAGGGAAGATAGCCCTAGCCCAGGCCCTAGGGAAACCCAGGCATTTGTATTACCACAGTCCTCAGCATTTGACCCGAGAGATATACCAACCTCTTTTGTGAAGGGTTAATGCTTACTCTGAGAGGCTCCAGAGTAGCAGATCTCCCTTCACCTTTTTTCTTCTCACAGCCTATGCATGGCTGGTACGAAGGCCTTGAATACTTTTGAGTAGATGGGAGATAAAGGATTGGAATTATGGGGATGAAGAGGGACAGAGCTGAGCATTTTGAAGTAAAAGGTTGGATGTGGGGATTTACTCTTTCCTTTTCCTCAGACCCTTTCTTCTCTTTTAGGACGAAATGCCCGCCGGTTTTCTGCAAGCCATTGGGAAGTAAGAAAGAGCTGGAGACTGTTCAGCTGCCCTACCTCACTTGATTGGCCTCGAGTAGTTGAGTCCTGTTTAGGCTCACCTTGCTGGGCCAGCCCCCAACTCCTTCAGCTGTAAGTTTCATGAATTCAGTCTCAAACAAGAGTGAGAAGTCACCATAAAATCTCAGGACCATAGAGTCCTAGAATGGTTGAGCTGGAAGAGCTCTTTTAAGAACTTCTGACCCAATCCCTCTTCCATTGACAAATGGGAAAACTGAGTCCCAGAGAGTTCTGAGGCAAGACATTCTCCCTAAGATCACACAATTAAGACCTGACTGGAGTCTGTCATAAGAAAGATGATACAATCCCCCTAGAATGTTTAGAACAGTGACCTGCATAGAGTTAAGTAAGTATTCAATAAGTATTAGCTGCTGCTCTTTACTGAGCCTTGGTCTTCTTGTTTAAAGTGCAGTGCTGTCTCTTCCATTACTTTCCAAAAGTCAACCTCTATGTAGTTATTTAACAATATTCAGTAGCTCCCTATTGCCTTTATGATGCATCTAGCCTTTACCTGATATTCAAAGAGCGTTCTGATTCTGCCCCAGCTGATCATGGTTAGCCATAACGTCTGTGTTTCCCATTAAGTCCCTCTGGGTTTGTAGTCAAACTTAACATTGTTCTGACTCCCATAGATACTTGTGGTTGTTACCTTTTCTCTGTCATTTTCTGACCCTGAGCCACTTTCTGAAGCATTATATATTTCATTTGCATATTGTAATATTCCACAGCTCTTCAATTCTAGTGACTTTTATCTCTACTGTATTCAGCAATCCATTTCCATTACCCAGAGCTGTTCCATTTCTGAAAATTGACATCCTGATAGCACACTCAACCACTATTGTCTTAACATTCCAGTTCTTACTCTTATGTTCCATGATATATGCTTGTTGCTTTCATTTAGATCTTTATCCTTCCATTTATTACCTCCCTGGACCTTCCTTTCCCTTAACTTCACTAGCTACCTGAGTCTAACCTGATCTGACATGCAAACTCCAAGTTTGTATTGTTCTTTACTGTTTCTCCTGACTCTCATCCTGAGGGATTGCTCAGTTCTACTTGTCTGAACTTTTGCTTGTTTTCTGACTACACTGTCTCCCATTTCCTGACTATTCTAAACCCTATCACTCACTTCAAATCCTCTGTCCCATTTTACTCTAACTTCGTTGATCTCATGGCATCCAGAGGGTACCTTTCAACCAGAGGTCTATTCCTGTGTACTGACCTGTTATGTTATTTGTGTACTTAACCTTCTCGCCAGTCACAGAGTAAAGTCATCTTGCTCTGCCTCATAGCCTGCTTGTCCACTTGTGCTTTGGAACCACCTTCTTCTAGCATTTCTGGGACCTCACTCTTGCTTTCCTGGATCTTATTCAACCTGTGAATGTGCCTCATTTTTTCTCAACTTAGTAACAACAAAAGAACAATTTCCTTTGACCCTGCATCCCTCTCTAGCTACTAGTTTGTCATCCTTCCTCTACCATCCAGACATCTCAAAAGTGTAATCTACACTTAGCAGTCTACCCTCAAATTTTGGGAACTCATCAGCATTATTGTCTGCTGGATTAAAACTGTTCATCTCTGCCTCCTTGAGAGACCTGTGCTTTTTATTGGTTATTGTTATGTGCTGTCAAGTCACCTATGACTCATAGTAACCCTGTGCACAACACACCTAAACCCTGCTCTGTCCTGTGCCAATCTTATTGTCACTGACACACCTATCCCCATTTTCCCAGTGACTGAATCAGTCCATCTCGTTGAGGGTCTTCCTCTCTTGTGCTGTCCCTCTACCCTCCTAAGGACTGATCCCACCTTGAAAAATGTCCAAAGTATGTCAGACAAAGCTTCAAAATCCTTGCCTGGCTTCACCCTGTTTAGGACAAACTTGTTTGTTGTCCTAGCAGTCTTTAGTATATTCATTCCTCTTCTCCAGCACCACAGCTCAAAGGCAACAACTCTCCTTCTATCATCCCTAGTCATTGTCCAGCTCTCTAATGCATAGCAAGTAATTGCTAAGACCATGGCCTGTATCAGGTGCACCTTAGTCTCCAGACTGACATCATTGCTTTTTAGTACTTTAGAAATACTATAAAATTATGAGACCCAAATCTCTCTATCTGGCTCAGCCATTTTCCCTTAGGTGAACCAAAACAGAATTGGTTATCATATTTCTTACCACAACCCACTGTCTCACTTGGTGATGACATTATCTATTCTGTTATATTGATTCAATTATTTCTCAAATATGATCTTTTGTGGTGTTGTGTCTATCTCTAGTTTCCTTCCTTTTATCAAATTGTAAGATTTTCAAGGGCAGTTGTTTGCCATTAACCAGCTGTGCCAGCACACCACAGAGATATAGGCACCAGACAGACATCAGTAAATGTTGAACAGGATTGTACTGTGCTATATTATTGGTACTTCACTTGGTAGTAACTGACTCAGTGCTTGATGAATGGATAAAGTGGGAGTTCATATGTCAAAACCCTCTGATTACTTTATGGGGACTGACTCTGATGTTATTTTGCGTACAGTAGTTAGGAGAGAGAAAAAAAAAATAGCATTATAGACAAATCCATACAGGGAAAGGCCTTCAGGAAATACTAAACCAAGTAGCCAAATCTCGAGATGTGTGCACTTTAGAGTAGAAATAATATGGAGGAGTGGAAAACTTAGAGAACCAAAAGAACCTGGAGTAGTCAGGAAAAGCATCTCAGAGGAGGCATACAATCAAGAAAATGAATAAAGTTTCTCAATCAGAAGGAATATAATATGTGTATGTTATTTGGGGAGAGTGTGAAAAGAGAAGCATGGAAAAGATTTGGGTAGTGGCCTTCAAGGTACTTTCCAATCATAAGTGTATACAGAATGAAAGCAGCGGGTATTGGAGAAATTTGGAACACAGATCTCCCAACCCATGAATACCAGAGGTATGTGACACCTGCCAGCGATAATAGTGTCACACTTGAGTATGATTCCTTGTGCATATATCCTGTCTGCCCCAGACTTACCTAGTCCTACTTGCCCCGTTATATAGATTGGGAAACACAATGGGTTTTCCCAGATACTGTGCTGCAAGTCAATAGCAGGGCTGAGGTCAACATCCAGAAATTTTGTCCTTTGTGCTAGATTCTTTCTACAATGCTTTATTATATTGTACTATTGCAAAAGTGTCTGTTACTAGACTTACAGAGCTTGGCTCTTTTCCCTCCAGATTAAAAAGTCATTAGGCCTTGAGAACTTGAACCTGAACAGCTAGTATAAGTTTGTGAACCAGTAAAGACAAAAGGAAAGCAAATGGGACTCTCAGTAAAGAAATGTAGTCTCCGAACAGCAGAGTACTTGGAACCATCCAGCCTCTGTACTCACATTTAATGTTCAAAAGGAATTTAGAATTAAAATAGGAGAAAATACTTTACCAGAATTACTCAATGACTAAAGGAATGTGAAAGTAAAGTATCTCTGCAGTTAAATGTCATACATGGCGCTGTATATTTTTGGTAGAAGTCATTTAACAGGACTCTTATGAGTGCTTTAACTATTATGGGAGACCCAGGGTTTATTGATGATTGGACAGGGATTTGGACCCAGGTCTTAGGAGTGCAAAATCCACCTTTCCATGAACCTAAGTATGTGACCTCAACTCCGAACTGTAACCAGGCAAACCCAAGGAAGTGAAGTATATATTTTAAGACTGATACCATGCCCACACTTTAATAGTGCAGCTTGAGATAATGGATGGGTAATAATAAGAAATTAGGAATACAAATCAACTGCAGTGAGGGGAAAGATAATTCTTCGCCAATTTTTCCATGGGAGAAAGATGAGCAGTCTCTTTCCATGCAATTTATAGCCTCTGAAACCTGATGGAGGGTCAGCCAAGAGTTGGTTCCAACTGAATGGCAATGAATTAAAACTCACTTCCCAACCCGTCCCTGCCCACCCATGAGTTCTCACAGTGACTGTGTCTTTATGGGTGCTTTTGCTGTTAGCATAGTTCCTTGTGTGCACATTACTATCATTGTTAATTCCCCTCTGCCTGCCTGATCCCTGCCATCTAGTCACCAAGCTTTGCTCTATCTGTCCTTTACAGATTCTCTCCCTCTCATCTCCTTACCAATGCTCTAATTCAATTCCTAGACTGGACTGTTGTAACAGGCTTGTCCTTGGTTTCTCTTCCTGTAGGTTGCCTTCCCCGTGATTACTAGTGAGTCTCAGGAACAGCCTTTGTTCTTAGAGGACCAGAAGCAGCTGATTCTGTGCTTGATGTTGCCAGATGGCCCTCAAAACAGACAAAACATAAACACACACATACTTTGCTTAGCTTTTCTTGTCCCACAGCTACTGTCACCTCATCCAGTAATATGTGCTTGCTCTTTTCCATGGGTCTTTTTGGTGCCCCTCCCCCATGACTCCTGCATGAAGTTCTTCCTTAATTAATTCTGCTTTTTTGTGCTTTCTGCTTGCCCTAGTCTTTACAGTGCCTGCTTTCTGCAGTGTTCATCTGGTCTTCCAACATCCTGTCTTGTAAATTGCTATTGGTTTGGTTTTTTTTCTTTCTTTCCCTCATTCCGCACTGGACTATGACTGCTTTCAGAAAGATCACATTTTGTGTTCCATCCTGAAGAAGTCCAGCATCCTTTTAGCCATATTTTAGGTACTCAGGGCAGATTACTTAGCTAGATCATAGGAAGAAAAGGATTTTCCATTCTCCTATCCATTGCTGTAGGTCTGCTGTCTAATTTGTGTCTTTATATAACATTTTAGTACAGAGTACAATGGCTGTCTTTTATTCCCACTGTGTGCTAGGCACTGGGCCAGTAATTTTATGTGAGTTCTCTGCTTGTTCCTCCCATCAATCCTATAAGTTCAGTTTTACTGAAAATGGAATTGAGGCACAGAGCTTATTCAGGGTCTGTACTACTATTGTTTCTGTTCTGTCTACTCTACCACACTGCCTTTTCAGAACCAAGTCTAGAACTCAAACCAAATTCAAACCTTAGAGTGTTGATGGTGTGAAGTGACTTTTGATTTTGAATCTTTACTACCCTATCACTTTCTTTACTCAGTATCTTCAAAGCTATGGGGTCAGTCCTACCAGACGAAGACCAGGAGAAACTGCTGCACATCTGCTCCATTTACACTCAGAGTGGAGAAAACAGCCTGGTGCAGGAGGAGTCAGAGGCCTTCACAATCAGGAAGACCCCATATACACTAGATAGTCTGTACTGGAGACTTGAACCTCCTGGCTCCAGCTTTGGATCTGAAGGAAAAGACAAGGCCCAGGACCTGGGTAGCTTTAATGATGATAAAGAAAAGAAGGATGAGAACTTGGGAGATCACACAGAGGAAGCAGAAGATGATGACCATGAGAAAGAGGAACATGATGATGAAGAAGATAGAATGGAAGTGGGGCCTTCCTCTACAAGGGAGGATTCCCTCACTGCTGAAATTTCCAGTCTCCTGGCCCAAAAAAGAGGAGCTTTGCAGGGCTCTGTGTGGCAAGTTAGCACAGGTAAGCAGCCTACATCTGTTTTCTTCGCTACACCAGTTTCTTCTTTCACTAGTTAGTTGTGAGACTTTCCTACTCTAGTGGCTTACTGGTAAAGAAAAAAAAAAAAATACTGCCAACCTAAAGTGGGGAGGGATGGATGTGCAGTGAGTTTTGTTAGGTGTCATCAAGTCGAGTATGATTCAGAGTGACCCTGTGAATAATCTTCCATCGTCACAGTATCTGATACACTTAAGCCCATTATTGCAGTCACTGTGTCAGTCCACCTAGTTTAGGGTCTTCCTCTCCTTTACCATACCTTCACCTTTCCAACCATGATGTCCCTCTCTAAGGAATAGGCTCCCCTAGCAACGTGCCCAAAGTATGTGAGAAAAAGCTTTATCAGATAGAATCCTTTATGTATAAGTCAGGGTATTTTATGATATTTTATATGTGTGTGTTGGTTTTAGGTGCATTGTATATTTCTTAAGGCAAGACTAGTGCAAAATGGCATGATATTCTAAGATATGTGGGAAATCTAGGTCATTCAGATATTCCGAGGTTTCTATGGGTTTGGAGAAGATTGTCTGGGAATTCTGAGGCATTCAGACCGGGGTCTGAATGAATGAGTGGATGTCACCGTGCAAATGTGGAAATAGAGGAAATTATATGCAGATAAGAGATTAGGACAGTGAAACAGTCATGTCTAAAGAAAGATGTATATGTCTCTGTGAGACATGTTTGGGCAAGTGGGAAGGATGAAGTAGTAAGAATTAAAAGTCTTGTGTTTGAGCTATATGTAGGGGGAAAGAAAGAGCATAGATTATGTAATGGTGTTTGGAAAGGGAGTGGAGAGCATTGAAGTCCAGAGCAGCTCACTAAAAGTGATGCAAAGAAGAGTGAAGCTGGAGACACTCACAGAGTTGAGCCCACTTTTGGGTGTGGATCAGTAGACAGGCTTGTGTGCCAGTCTGAGAACCAGCTGATCAGTCTGCTCTGAGCATTTTCCTTTGTTCCACAGAAGATGTACAGTGGGTCACATTCCCATTTGGCCAAATGCCAGGTCAGACTGAAGACCCAGCGGAGCTTATGCTAGAAGATTATGACACCATGTATCTTTTGGATCAGCCTGTGCTAGAACAACGGCTGGAACCTCCAATATGCAAGACTAGGTAAGTGCCCATGGTAGCAGGACTTTTTACTCCCCTTTACCCTTTGTGGGAGGGAGCAAGAGAAGTAGGTTGAATTGGGGAGGTAGCCATTCCTAGTGAGAGCCTAAATGAATAAAGTAGAAATTCAAATTATATATACGTGTGTGTGTGTGTGTGTGTGTGTGTGTGTGTGTACACATTTTGAGAGGGAGACGTGTTTGTAACTTGGAAAAAAATCTTCTAAATAGCCCACCATAGAGGTCAAGAACTCTAGTCCGATTTCTTCATGTTCCGAGAGTGAAAACAGACCAAGAAAGGGGAAGATACTGGTCCAACGTTGTACAGAGTAATCATTAGGTCTTCCCATACTGTCCAGGCATCTTGATAGCAAGGTCTGCACAGGCCTCTGCACTCCCTCAGAACACACCTCTAGATCACAGATGTGGGAGCCCTTGGGCCATCAGGGGGATCCAAGAACCAAGCAGTCCTACCTGAGGGTCTGTGATGATAGCACAAAGAATCCTGTCCAGAGAGCCTGTACATTCTTGAATATTGGGAAAATGAGACTAAGAGAATCTTGTACCAGAGAGAGATTATTGAGCCCCTGAAATGGAGAGACTCTGTGGTGTTTTTCCTGGCTTATTCAATCTCTGGAAGATGAGTCCCTTTTCATCTGGGCATCCTGGGAGAGGGCAGTAGAACTCAGGGCCTCTAAGGCATTAGGATCTGTCTAGGAAACAGCATGCTTCCTCTATAGGAGGCAGCTGGAGAAATCAGGTTGTCTCTAGTTTGGGGTTTGGAGGCACATATCTAAGTTTCCCCCTCAACCCCAACTGGCTTGACCCTGGGTAAGGCCAATTCAATGAGCTCAGGGTACCCAGGATTAAGTGTGGGTAGATGGAACTGCTAACACAGAAGCAAGTTAATTTGGCCCAAGTCCCATTCCCCCTGTAGTAGGGAGACTTCCTCTGCTAGGGAAGGATATGCTCATCCTAGCTTCTTGTCACAGCTACATTCCTAACTGGATTGTGTTGCCTTTCCCATATCTGGGGCCTCTGATTCCTTTGTAGGATTGTGAGTGGATTAGATCCTAAGGGCTTTTGCAGCTACAGTAGTTTAACCATGGATCTGCCTAAGGGAGAGAATGATATCTTTATTCTCAGCTTACACCCTCATCCAACTTGAAGAATTTTTGGCAAGCAAGAGTATTCTGAGTAGGCAGGACTTATGGGATGGCTTCTTAGAGCAATTTGCCTTACTGAAGTGGAAGCTGGATCTAGCCCTGTAATAGCGAGCTTGGCCTTGGTTCCTTAGACTAGGTGTTGAGGGCATGAGGGTGAGGATGTCCAGCCCAGGATCTTGGGTTTAAGTTTGGGGCTTGGAAGAAGGCCATATTAAAGCATCTGCTTTGAATTACCTGCCTGGGAATGCGAAGGTGGAATGGTAGAGAATCTCCTTTTGTGCTTCAGCCCAAACAGCTCTGCTTTAATCTGATTAATATGTTGGACCTCTGAATAAAGCTATAATTTAAAAATTCCACTTTGTCTCCTTTCCCTCCCTCAACTGAGGGTAGGAATGAGCCATACATGGTTCCCACTTGAAGTGTTATCTCTGTAAAACCAGGCAGAAGGATGGCCCTTCTCATAGATCACCCATATCCCCTCAGCGCCTAATATTGACTCCTTCCATAACTGACAGACATCCTACTCTTTCTGCAGCACCGTGGGCTCAAGCTGTGGCATCGGCAATGCCAACTGCAGCAATAGCAGGAACAACTTCGAGGGCCTTCTGTGGAACCAAGGGCAGCTACATGGACTCAAAACTGGCCTGCAGCTCTTCTGATGTGAGCCCTTGAACAAGTGTGCATCAAACCTTGCCAGGAAAATAACCCAACCCCCAGTATGCTTGATGTTCTATCAGTAACCCAAGAGAGCCTGAATCTCTTTTTCTACTACAATGGGATTTTTAATATGTTTTGTGGTTATGGTTTGGTTTTGTTTTTTTTTGTTTGTTTGTTTTGTTTGTTTTGTTTTTTTATTTTGTGAGTGTGTACCGTCAAATCAGATCTGACTGGTACAGGAGGATATTGCGCCTCCTTCTCCGGCAGAGCGTCTGGTGGATTCGAACCGTGTTCCTCTGGGATTGCAGTACAGCTTCTTGCCACTAGGCCACCAGAGCTCCCCTATATGGTTTTGTTTTGAAAAACAATAAATATATAACTAGTTTTAGTGTTTGGTGTTTGTGAGGTGAAGGGGATACATGCTGGATCCAATTAATTCCATTTTCCCTTCTTTATTCTATGTAGAACAGGGTTAGGGTAGGTTCTGAAGTCCCTCGTGTCTACTAACTCTGGTTACTCTCACCATCAGTTTCTTCTGTATCTTTTTATTAATCCTTGAAATCATCTACTCCTCTGAGCTCTAGAACAGGCCAGCTCACTTAAAGCATCAGGCTCTGTAGGAGAGAAGCTGCTGCCACAGAGCCCAGCCATTAGCTGGGGTCTGCTTATACCCTCACCATGGGAAGACCCAAACCTTCATGCTTCTACCCAGTAAGCTTCTGCCTTATCTGTCTTCCCTTACCAAGCAAGAACTGAAAGCCAGAGAGAAGCCTTTCTTTGACATGTCTTTACCTGAGAAAAAAATAGAGTGGACTATCCTGTGGTACGCATTAGAACCACAGAAATTAGTCCAGAGCCTCTTCTTTATGATAATGTAATTATATCAGACACTCAGAGTACCCATCCGTGTCATCCCTGAGGTGAAGATGGATGAATAAACCATGTTCTTCTCCATCAGAGCTTTAAACCTAGTCAGAAAAGATAGTCACTAATTATGACCACCTTAAATTCTGCAAGGAGTTCCAATGTTCATGCTATTTTTGCTTAGGTTATATTTCCAAGGTAGTGGTCAAATCTGTGGTAAAACATCCCTATCCCCACCCTTTGGAGAGTGATAGCTGAGTGAGAGATTCTCTCTGTAGGACCATGTTTGATCCAAGAGAAGGCTTCTCAGCACTTTAGTGCAATGTACAGAGTCTTTTCTGACATTCATTTTGGTCTTTCCTTCCTCCTCTGTCTTTGTAATAGTCTTTTGCATTCTTCCTGGATGATATTCTTTATTTCCTCCCACAGCTCATCTGGTCTTTACTCATTAGTGTTCAAGGCCTCAAACCTGTTCCTGAGATGGTTTTGAAACTCAGGTGGGATAGGCTCAAATTTTGGTTCCCATGGATATGATTTAATTTTCCTCAGCTTCAGCTTGAACTTGTATATGAGTAGTTAATGGTTTGTTCCATAATCAGTGCCTGGCCTAGTTTTCACAGTTGATGTCATCTATCTGATTCCTATGCATACCATCAGGTGCAATCCATATATATAGTCTATGTTTATGTTTCTTATAAAATGTATTTGCATCGTTAAAATTAATAAGAAAAACAAAAAATGTATTTGTAATGAATAAGTCATTGATGGTGCAAAATTCTATCATTTTATCTCCAGCAGTGTGAATCACAACAAACTGGCTAACTCTGAGAAGAATGGGGATCCCAGAACCCTTGATTTTTCTTATGTGAAATCTATACATAGATCAGGAGGCAGTCATCAGAACAGAGCAAGGAAACACTGCATGGTTAAAAATTGGGAAGGGTGTATGCCAGGGATGTGTCCTATCTCCATATCTTTTCAATCTATATGCCAAACAGATCATCTGGGAGACTGGGCTCTATGAGGAGAAATGTGGCATCAGGATTGGAAGTAGACTCATCAACAATCTGCGTCATGCAGATGACACAACCCTGCTTGCTGAAACTGAGGAGGACATGAAGCGCTTGCTGCAGAAGGTCAAGGACTGCAGCCTTAAATATGGAATGAAGCTCAAAATCAAGAAAACAAAGATTCTCACCACTGGGCCAATTAGCAGCATCATAATGGATGGTGAAGAGATTGAGATTGTTAACAGTTTCCGTTTGCTTGCTTTTACAATCAGCACTTCTGGTACCAGCAGCCAGGAAATAAAAAGACGGATTGCATTGGGAACGTCTGCTATCAGAGACCTCTCAAAAAATACAGAAGAGCAATGATGTCAGTCTGGAGACTAAGGTGCACCTGATACAGGCCATAGTATTTGCAATTACTTGCTATGCATCAGAAAGCTGGACAATGACTAGGGATGATAGGAGAATTTATGCCTTGGAGCTGTGGTGCTGGAGAAGTGTATTGAATGTACCATGGACTGCTAGGAGAACAAACAAGCTCATCCCGGAGAGGAGAAAGACAGGCTGTTCCTTGGAGGCAAGGATTCTGAAGCTTCGTCTGACCTACTTTGGACATGTTGCAAGGTGGTATCAGTCCTGGGAGAGGGACAGCAGACGAGAGGAACACTCTCGATTAGATGGATTGATTCAGTGACTGAGGTAATCAGTGTAGATGTGTCAGAGACAATAAGATTGGCACAGAATAGAGCAGGGTTTAAGGCTGTTGTACATAGGGTCGCTATGAGTCGCAGGCGACTTGATGGCACATAACAACAACAGTGCCAAAAAGTGTTGATTGTGAAGTTGATCAAGCTCTTCTCCATCCATCATGGTGCTGTCAGTTGGCCCAGTTGGTGTTGAGCTACAATCCATATTGAAAACTATAGTCCTTGACCTTCTGCAGCAAGAGCTTCAGCTCTTCCTCAGTTTCAGCAAGAAGGTTTTATCATCTGCATAACCTAGGTTGTTGATGAGTCTTCCTCCAATCCTGATGCCACATTCCTCCTCATAGAGCCCAGCCTCCCAGATGATCTGTTCTGTATGTAGATTGGAAACGTATGAAGACAGGAAACATTCTTTGATTCACTCACTTCCTGATTTCGAACATTTCCTTACTCTGCTCTGAGGTTCTGGTCCAAGTATATGTTTCACATGAGCACAATCAACTCTTCTGGGATTCCCATTTTCCTCAAGGTTAAACACAATTTGTTGTTATCTACACAAATACCTTTGCATTGTCAACGAAACACAGAGAGATATCCTTCTGGCACTCTTTGCTTTCAGCCAAGATTCATCTGACATTGGTGACTATGTCTTAGTGCCACGGCCTCTTTTAAACCCAGCTTGTATTGCTGGTAGTTCTCTGTCAGTGTACTGTTCCAGTCGTTTCTGGATAATCTTCAGCAGCATTTTACTTGTATGTGATATTGTACAATAATTTCCACACTCTGTCGAGTCAAAGCTTTATCTCGCTTACTTTGTCATGTTGTTAATAGAAGCCAGTTGTTGGGAAATAACATTCATGTTTGGAAAGGTATAGGGTCAGTCACAGAGATGAAGACCTTCAGAAAGGTGAATTGACACAGCAACTATAACAATGGGTTCAATTTAATCAGAGATTGCAAGGATGGTGAAGGATAAGGCAAAGTTTAGATCTATTATTCATAGGTACACTAGGTTATTCACAAGTCATCACAGCCAACTTGATGGCATGTAACATCATGTTTATAGTAGCATTACTCACAATAGCAAGAAGATGGAAAATAGCCCCAAAACTCATCAGCCTACAAAGGGATAGAAAAACTGTGGTGCATTCACACAGTGGAATACTATGCAGCACTAAAAAGCAATGAAGAACTCATTGAACACTACACATGGATGAGTGTAGAGAACATTATCTTGAGGGAAATAAGCAAATATTAAAAGGACTAATATTGTATAAGACAGCTATTTTCAAAATAAGAGGGAAGTGGGAGGATGAGGAGAGCAGAAACAGAATGCACAGAGAACAAACACTGTAAAGGATCAGGGAAAGGGAGGATCAACCTGGAAAGAATAGACAGAAGGACAATATAGTTATTACAATTAACAATCTGGAGCAGAACACGCATAACTGTTCAAAGGGGAAAGCAGGGAAAAGGAGAGGAAAGGGAGCGGACCCAACACAGCAGAAATTAGTGGACAGATTTGTGGTCTGAAAGAATAGACAAGGTACAGTGAGGATTTGAGAAGGCATGTGATTAAAGCCACTGATAAATTGTAATTGCTGTTATAAGGCACACTGTATATGAATGATTCAATGAAAATAAAAATATATACTTTTTATTTACTAATAAAAAGGCATGCAACAGTATATATCATAACAAATTATGGATACCACTGAGAAGAATGAGAATACCAGAACACTTACTTAGTTGTGCTCATGCAAAACCTATGAATAGACCAAGAAGCAGTTGTGCAAACAACAAGGAAATATTGTATGGTTCAAAATCAGGAAAGGTGTGCATCAGAGTTATATCCTTTCTCCATACCTATTCAATTTGTATCTTGAGCAAATAATTCAGGAAGCTGGACTATATGAAGAAGGATGTGGCATCAGAACTGGAGAAGATTCACCAATAACCTGTTTTAGGTAGACAACACAAGCTTGCTTGCCAAAAGTGAAGAAGACTTGGAGCACTTTCTTTAGAAGATCAAAGACTACAGACTTCAATATGGATTACATTTTGATGTCAAGAAAATGAGTCCTCATCAATATGAAGAAAAGACTGAAGTTGCCAAGGGTTTCCTTTTATTTGGTCATGGCAGCAACAGTCAAGAAATCAAAATGTTTGCCTTGGGTAAATCTGCTCTCAGAAACATCTCTGAAGTCCTAAAGAGTAATGATGTCAGTTTAAATAACAAGGTATTATTTTTCGATTTTAAACTGCTTCCTATACATTTGAAAGTTGGACAACAAATAAGGATGACAAAAGACAAATCAATGGCTTTGAACTGTGGCATTAGAGCAAAGTACTGAATATCTCATGGATTTCCAATAAACCAAACAAGTCTGTCTTGGAGGAGGTGCAGTCAGGGTGATGCCTAGA